AAGCTAGGAGGGGGTGTCTGGGAAGGCTTTGGGGGGAGGCAGCACTGTGCTTCCCTTAAATTCTAGTGGGATTGGACACCAAGTGAGGGCTGGAGTGGCGTTCCAGGCAGCACTAATGGGGAACGTGAAAGAGCATGAGTCTGGGGTCAGAAGGATCCAGGTTCAAATCCATGACTAACTAATAAACTTGAGCGAGTCACTTCAGCCTTTCTACATTTTAGTTTATGGGGGTGAGAGTGTAAAGCCTGGAGCGATAGAATCTTCCTGGCCTGCTTTGCAGGGCTGCCAGGAAGTGCAAACTTTATGTGAAAGCAGTTGGAAAACTATAAAGTGCTATGAAAACGCAGGGGCTGTTTTTATTTTTAAAGCATTAATTGATTCAGCAACAAAACTCCTAGGTAAGAACACAGTAATGACTGAACCTGGATGGGCTATACAGTAGTTCAGCTCAAAGCTGTCTCTAACCCAATCATCCAGGGTCTGAGGAAGTGTGGTTGATCTTTCTACTTTCATTCCTGGAAGGTTAAGGAAAGCCCTTAACCACCACAAACTTTCTCAAAAATCCCACTATTGTCTGTTGTTATAGATTATCTGAACTCCATCCATCCACCTATTTATCTGTTCAGCCAGCCATCCAGCCAATTTACCAATCTATCCATCCACCCATTCACCTATCTTTCCATCCATCCAGTAAACCTAGTGAGTACATCCGTGGCCAGATACCCTGCTCATTGTTGGGGATACAGAAAAAAATTAGACCCCTTCTCTGCGCTCAAGAACTCTACAGCTTAGTGAGAAAGACAGCCATATAAATCATATATCATTACTCTTTTTAAACCCATTTTCAGTTCTATGTTTTTGGGGGTAACAAATTCCAGAGACCACAGATTATGGGATTTTAAGGCTGAGTGATCTTAGAACTCTCTTCTATCACACTCATTTTACTAATGGGGAAATTGTGATTATTGTTTGTTGTGGAAAGCAATATGGCTTCCTCTTATTTGCCTCCAAATGACCTCTCCAAGCTTTCAAGTTCAGTTCAGTTCAGTGAATCTTTATTAAACGTCTATTATGTGCCAGGCTCTGGGCAAGAGCTGCAGGTGTGGCAGTGAAGAAGATGTCATCCCTGCCATCAGGGATGTCATAGTCTAGGGACAAAAGGACATACAGAGAGATAATAGCTCTAGTGCTTGATAAAGACAGGGATAGAGGTGAGCACAGGTTACTGAACATACAGGAGAAGGGCCCCTGCTCTGAATATGGGTAGCTTGGGAGAGGCTTCCTAGAAAGAAGTCCTGTGAGCCATATCTTGAAGGGCAAAAAGCAATGTGTTAGATGAATATGTCCTGGAAAGGCATGCTGGGCAGAAGGAACAGCATGGGCAAAGGCATGGAGGTAGAAATAGCATGGCTTATTGGAGAAACTCCCCTGGAGTAGGAAATGGCATTCTACTCCAATATTCTTGCCTACAAAATCCCATGGACAGAGGGCCCTAGCAGACTACAGTCCACACTGACTATATTCTGGAGAAACCATATATGGTGTTGGGACTTAAAGAGGGAAGTGGTGAGGGATGAATATGGAGAGGAGGGCAGGGGAAAAATGATAGCACATCTGAGGTGGAGCTGGTATGGCCAAAGGCCACCTTTACCTTCCTGGGTTTGGTGAGCATGTCCTTGTTTACTTTCTCTGTCCTCTCTGGGCTAAGAAACCCCAGCACATTCCCTTGGCCTTCCTCTTTATAGTCTTAGTCACTCAGTTGTGCTCAACTCTTTGTGACCTATTGGACTGTAACCCACCAGGTGCCTCTGTCCATGGGATTTTTCAGGCAAGAATACCAGAGTGCCTTGTCATTTCCTTCTCCAGGGGATCTTCCTGACCCAGGAATGGAACCAGTGTCTCCTGCATTGGAGGTGGATTCTTTACCTGCTAAGCCATCGGGGAAGCCCCTTTTAGTCTTAAGAAGCCTAATTCGTGTGAAGGATGAGCCTGTCCTTCAAGGTGTGGGTTTGGATGCGCAGGAAAAGTCAGCCTTGATTTGCAAGATTTGCCAGTTCCTATGGTGTAAACACTTCCTCCAACAGCAAGGATTTCAAGCTATCAGTGCAACATCACTGGTCATGGAGTTGAGGAGAGATATACACTGTTGGGTTTTATAAGCCAGTACCAGCCAGCTCCAGCACAGCTTCTAGGCTGCATGTGTGGTCTGAAGAGGTAGCCTACTCCTACTGACTTGCATGATGTAACTTATCACTCCCATTTTATAGACTGGGAAGCTGAGGATCAGAAGGTGGTTGTCCTGCCTGTGATCACATAGCCACTGCCTGACAGAGAGGGGCAGCCTGGGCAGCCTGACTCCAGAGCCTGAGCTCTAACCATGATATTGTTCTCTTCCCATTCCAACAGGGTGGGTGTATTGAAGTGTGTGAGCTGCATCAGTGGCATTAGCCTTCAAGTTCCAGCCCATTTCCAGATGAATCTCCAGTTGACATTTGGCCCTGTATGGTTAGTTCTCCCATCTTCCAGGTGTTTCTCACCCCCATCCATGCTAGAAGGACATACGCTAACAGTCCCCATTGGATCCACCTGGCATAGCCAGGGAACCTGGAAGCAGGAAGGGATCCAGAAAGGTCAGCTGAGACAGAAGACAGATCATGGTGGTGGAGTGGGCCCAGAAATGCCTAGACCTGGAGTCTCTCCCTAAAAATTGGTTTTTCACAGCCCAGATGCTGTGTCTAGCACTGAGAAGCAATAGTAACAGCACATTTCTGCTACTCACGACACAGTAATGGTAATTTGTTATGAAATCATTAAGCCTAAGTATATGATCTGGAGCCTTGAACAAAACAGGTGGCTCTGTTTGGGGATGGAAGGAGGGAAACCAAGAAGACAGAAGGAAAGGAGAGGGCATGCTGGAGGGAGTGAGGTGTGGGAGGGGTACTGGTGGGCTGGCATGGTTGTGGGAAAACACATGAGACCCCAGGCTTGCGTCTGAGCCCGTGTTATGACTTGCAGTGGCGGGGGGGCGGGGCGGTGTTACCATGTCATCAATAATAATAACACTTCTCAAGATATTGTCTATAGTTGTGATTATTGAAGTTTCAGGGGTTGTGACTTACAAGTAACACTTAACTCTCAATCATTAGGGCTGATAGGGGATTGGAGAGGTGAGAACTGGCATAGGAAGGGTACTCTGGGCTCTTTTGATGGGAGCTCTGCCCCTTCCTGACCTGGCTACTTGCTGCTCACCATTCAGAGCTGCCTTAAAACTTCACTGTGTGTGTGCATGTTTATGGACCAGTGAGTGCACCCCTATGTATATATGTGCACCTGCATACATGTATCTGTGTGTGTGTATGTATGCATGGCTCTCCTACTCTTCCCCCTTCCTACTAGGAAAGCAGCTAGACAGAGGCCAAGGGGTGATGGGGGAACCAAGAGCCAGGTAGGAAGACATCGCCTTCCTAAAACCCCAGGTATGCCTGGGGAATCCCAGGCCCCCTGTTCACTCATCTCTAAGTCAGTTGCAGTTAGAAATGCAAATGAATTCAGCAGGGTCCCATTTTTTTGGAACTCCCTTTGCACACAGTGGGAGCTTAATAAATACTTGATGATGGTTCTGAACCTGGGAAGCCAGCAGCTGTTCCCAGCTCTGACTCTCAGAGCTCCATGGAACAGATCAGGTGGGGAGCAACCATGGGGGTCTTCAGTCTTCCTGCCAGACCCTCCCGTGACTCCAAGTCCAGCTGCAGCCATAGTCCATTTCACACATCCTGCTTTGGGGAGGCCAGTTCTTCCTCCACAATTTCTATCTGGCTCTTTCCCACTTGTCATTTGAGCCACATTTATGGAGCCACCACTTTGCACTGAGCATCATAGTGGAAAGGCATCCTGGGAGATGGTATAGGGGCTGTGGGTTCAGACTGACCTGGGTTCAGATTCTACTACCCTTAATTACAAATGGGGTAACATCTGGCAAATTACTTATCTGTGCTTGAGTGGTTTTTTTAAAAAAAGGTTTTCATCTGTAGAAGGAGAATAATGACATAATTTTAATAGGGTTATTGTGAGGCTTAGAAATAACAGATGCTCCTGCACACATATTGCAGGCAGTTCAGTATTTACCTGGGGTCAGGAGGATGTGACCTTTGCTTCTGTGACCTTGAAGTTGTTACTCAATATCTCTGAGCATCAGTTTGTGAAATGGAAACACGATGCCCGCCTCCTTGGGTATTTGGAGGCTGTAGCTGGATAATAGGTGTGAAATAAGCTATCGTAGACCCTGATCATTAATAACTCTTCCTGTTTCTTGCCGCCGCATCAGGGTGCAGAGTTTCCCTCCGGACGAGGACCTCCGCTCCTCTTCTCCACCGCCCCGCGTGCGCATACATTCCGTATCGCCGTGGGCTGACGGGTTTCTGCCATACCTGTCAGAGGAAAAGAGGGCAGCTGCTCAGCTCCCGGGTGGGGAGCGGAAACTACAGTTCCCAGCCCTCGCTGCGCCGCCGCCGGGGCTGGGAGCGGAGCGCGGCAGGCCCCTCCTCAGGGGAGGAGCCTATGCGGGGGGCGGAGTTAGGAGGTGGTTGGAGAGTTAAGCCAAGCCAATGAGACCAGCTGCTAATAAGTGGGCTTGGCTTACCCTATAACAGTGGCAGGAGGAGGAGAGCAAAGCTATTGAGCCAGCGAGGAGTGAAGCTGAGCCTGGCCTCACACGCTCCTAGAGGACCACCTCCTGAGACAGAGTTCTTTTTCCCCCTTCTTCTTCTTTCTCCAAGCTCCCCTCCTGCCCTCCCTCCCTGCCCAGTACCATGCATTCTTGAGTGGCAGCGTCTGGACTCCAGGCAGCCCCAGAGAACCGGAGCAAGCCAAAGAGAGAGGACTGGAGCCAAGACACTCTGGTCGGGGAGCTTGGATGCCTGGCTTTCTTTGAGGACATCTTTGGAACGAGGGTGGCTTTGGGGTGGGGGGTTGTGCTGCAGGCAATCCAGCCCGGCCCCAAGATGGACACTTCTGGGCACTTCCATGACTCCGGGGTGGGGGACCTGGATGAAGACCCCAAGTGCCCCTGTCCATCCTCCGGGGATGAGCAGCAGCAGCAGCAGCAGCAGCCACCGCCACCGCCGCCAGCACCACCAGCAGCCCCCCAGCAGCCCCCAGGACCCCCGTTGCAGCCTCAGCCTCCGCAGCTTCAGCAGCAGCAGCAGCAGCAGCCACCGCATCCCCTATCTCAGCTCACCCAACTCCAGAGCCAGCCTGTCCATCCCGGCCTGCTACACTCCTCTCCCACTGCTTTCAGGGGCCCCCCTTCATCCAACTCCACCGCCATCCTCCACCCTTCCTCCAGGCAAGGCAGCCAGCTCAATCTCAATGACCACTTGCTTGGCCACTCTCCAAGTTCCACAGCCACAAGTGGGCCTGGTGGAGGCAGCAGGCACCGGCAGGCCAGCCCCCTGGTGCACCGGCGGGACAGCAACCCCTTCACGGAGATCGCCATGAGTTCCTGCAAGTACAGCGGGGGGGTCATGAAGCCCCTTAGCCGCCTCAGCGCCTCCCGGAGGAACCTCATTGAGGCTGAGCCCGAGGGCCAACCCCTCCAGCTCTTCAGCCCCAGCAACCCCCCGGAGATCATCATCTCCTCCCGGGAGGACAACCATGCCCACCAGACCTTGCTCCATCACCCCAATGCCACCCACAACCACCAGCATGCCGGTACCACCGCCAGCAGCGCCACCTTCCCCAAAGCCAACAAGCGGAAAAACCAAAACATTGGCTATAAGCTGGGACACAGGAGGGCCCTGTTTGAAAAGAGGAAGCGACTGAGTGACTATGCTCTGATTTTTGGGATGTTTGGAATTGTTGTTATGGTGATAGAGACCGAGCTCTCTTGGGGTTTGTACTCAAAGGTAGGGGCTGCAGTTTCTCTTTATACCTTTGAACAAAAGGAATATGTAGGTAGCAAAAGAGAGAGAGAGAGTGGGGGAGAGAGAGAGAGAGTGGGGGAGAGAGAGATGGTGGTGGTGGGGAGAGGCGTTTGCTCAATTATATCGAACACTTAACTTCCCATGGTTTTCCTGCTTAATCCCGGGAGAATTCATTCCTTGCTTCCCTTGGAGGGGGGACATCCCCACACACTGTGTCTAATTTGCGGACTCTGTGTTAGGGAGGATTAAAGAATCCCTTCTGAGAAATCATCTTTCCTCCTGGCTCACTCGTACTAAAGCATAACCCAGCAGCTTAACGCACCAATTAATTACACTCTGCCTTGATGTGCTTGCCAGTTCCTGTGACTTCCCTCCTCTCCTCCCCTCCCTGCTCCACTCCATTTTCCCGAGGATAAAAAAGAAATAAATGTCTGGGTGGGGGGTGGGGATTCCATGCCAGTCCCTTCTCTGTCTTCTCCCTCTCTTCCCAAGTTTCCGTTTCCCTCCTCCTCCCTGAGAGACTTAGGGCAAAATAGAAAAGCACCGGTGATCTGGCGTCTCCTGGGGTGAGGAGGGGCATGGGGTGAAAATACAGGCGGAGGAAATCAGCGGTCCTTTCCCTCAGGAAAGAGGACTCAGAATAAACCTGCTCCTGCCTCGTAAACACCCCCTGATAAAAATGGCTACAGGTGTTACCCGGGCAGAGCAGATGGGCGCCGCCTTGGCATCAGCGGCGGCGGTGGTGGGGGGGTGGGGGAGTGCCTCTCCTTGGGATGGAATGACAGGGTTTCCCGGGCGTCCCCGAGAGCCCGCGCCCCCGGCTCAGCCCCACTTCTCCCCTCCCACCCCAACTCCTTCTTCTCGGGGATAAATAAGGATGAGTGTATGCGCTAGTGTGAGTGCGCGCCCCGATGGAGAACGGCGGCGGCGGCGGCGGCGGCACCGGCTTTAGCGGGGGAGCTGGCCCCGCTGCTCCAGCCTCCGTCCAGTCCCCAGGCGGAGGAGGGGGCTTCCCTCCCCTAGCGGGCTTGGAAATCGCGTCCTCCAAGGGAGTGGGGCTTGAGGAAGGTGGATTTCTGTCAAAGCTCTGCTTGCTGGGAGCCCTCCTGCTGTGAGCTTGAAGATTTGGAGACCTGGGGAGTCATTGGGCAAGTGGATTTTTGTTTCCCCACTCTACCCTTCACCCGCAGTTTACTTGTTGGGGGGTGTGTGTGTGTGTGCTTGCTTGTTGCTTGGATTTCTCTTGTCATTTTGGGCAGGGGGTGGCTAGGCTGGCCAGCGGGTAGCTGGGAGGGGCTCAGCTGTTGGGGGTTTCAAATAGAGCTTGTTTCAGGCTGGGCACAGCTGCTGCGAGACTGTCACATTCCTTGTTGAAATCCAGCCACAAAAACCTGGGAGGTGCTGATCGGATTTCCCCCATTCCCAGCCTCTCGCTCTCTGAGCTGGGGATGGCTAGATCTGCCTGCTCGAGAAAGGGGTGGGGCAGACCTGTCAGATGGCCAGAAGAGCCAGAATGAAGACTTCCAGGGGGAAGGTCCTGGCTGCTCAGAGGGCATTGCCCCAGCTCTGGGCAGCTCCCGGAAGTCGCCTTCATCTCTGGAGGTCTAGGATTTGAGCCCCTCAGTGAGCTGGAGCGAGCGGGGTTTCCCCTGGAATCGCAGCTCACTTAGTCATTCCCTGTAATGAGCCTCTGAGTCTGCAGGTCTTTCTGCTTACTGCCTTCTCCTGCTGGGCGCTCCAGGAGAGGGGGCCACTGGCCTCGGCAGGCCCGGCGGCCACCCTGGGCACAACCCCGGCCCCCTCCAGGCTCCCCCTGGGGACCAGGAGCCCTTGCTGGGGGGAACTGATACAGGCCCAAGTGCTGGGGGGTGGGGAGAAGGGGCAAGATCAGTACCCTCTCTTTTAGTGAACCTCTGAGCTCTTAGGGGAATGGCTCTTCCTTAAGACAGCTCCCAGTGTGGGATCTGTCTGTGCACATTTGTCTTGATGGGGTGGGAGGGTTGCTGCTGGAGCAGGTGGCTCCCTGCTGGAGTATTCAGGGAAAGGGGCTTTCCCAGAGCCTGAGAAAGCAGACTCTGGGGCAAAGGAAAGTTGAGGTGATCCAAGGGGCTGGGCTTTGCCTAATTTTAAATTGATGATCCTCTGGCTGATGGATGCATGGAGGGGAGCAGCAACCCAGAAAGTCTTGCTTGCCTCAGCTAATGAGGTGGCCACTTCCTGTGCACCTTGCGGTTGGTCGTGGTGTGCTGAGCAGGGCTCACTGTCACCTGCTCACCAGCCCCCCCATCCTCTATCCAACCAGGCTCTGAGTCATTATGGAACAAGTATTTGCTGGGTGTCTGTGTCAGGCCCTATGGGCCTAGTAGGAGGTTAGGGCAGCTATTGTCTCTCCTCTCCTGGAGGCAAATAGGGTTGTTTTAAAGAAGCAGGGCAGAGTCTGAGTCCCAGCTCTGCCACCTCCAGTGTGTGATCCTGGACAATCCATGTAGCTTCTTTGAGCTTGTCTCCCCAGTTGTCAAGTGGGGAGAGTGGGATGCTCCATGAAGGACCTATTGCTATTTTTTTTTTTTTTTTGGACCTATTGCTATTGTTATTGATGATGGGAGGAAAAAAGATGTCTTTATCCTCTGTTATTTAGCTCTGGCTTCAGAATTAGTTGGGGCCTTGATACTCTTGGAACCAAGACTTGTCAGTGGAGTGAGAAGTTGCATCTTGGAGGGGAGAACTTTGGAGAACGGGCTGGGTCTTCTGATTCACATGCATGCATGTTAAGTCGCTTCAGTTGTGTCTGACTCTTGTGACGCTATGAACTGTAGCCCACCTACCTCCTCTGTCCATGGGATTCCCCAGGCAAGAATACTGGAGTGGGTTGCAAGAATACTGGTTCTCTTCCAGGGGATCTTCCTGACTGAGGGATCAAACCCTAGTGTCTTATATCTCCTACATTGGCAGACAGGTTCTTTACCCCTAGTGCAACCTGGGAAGCCTGGAAACCACCTATCACATGGGTCTGTTGCAGGGGAGGTGAACCTTTGTTCCTCAGCCTTGCAGAGAAAACAGATTCTATTGTGACGAGAGGGTTTAGGTCAGAATGAAGAATCACCAGCTGGGGGAACTCAGAGACAGTCAGTGACCCTGGGGAACGGATGGCTGACAGCCTCTTTTCCTGGAGAACTCTGTGTCTGGTTGGTTTGCTGACTGGTGTGGAAGCAGGAGGACGGACAGATTGGATTATTCTGTCCTGATGGTGACAGTTCCCACTCAAAGGCCCTGGGGAGAGGGACACACTGTCTTTTCCCTAAGTGATGAAGATTGCTAACCTTGTGTTTGAGCTGCCGCTTTCTGTAGTTTTCTGCTCTTTTTCATGGGGCTGTGGCCTTTATGTTTGCCTCTCTCTGGCTGCTATCTGTTACTGGGGGAGGAATTCACCACAGAGGCCTGGCTCTCTCGAGAAGAAACAACCCCGGAGCATAGTCAGTTCATGCTAAAGGGCAACAGCGCAAGGAAGTAAAAGATATCAGGACGGAATGGTCCTCGGCCTCCCTCTCACAAGCCACAGGTGATGATGGGAAAGGAAGGTGGGCTGAGGTAACAAGAGAGCTGTTTGTGATCACACCCGGGCTGTGGCCCCTGATGGTTATTCCCAAACCAAACGAGGGCGAGGTGTTTTCTTTACACGTGGATTCACCCTTGAGGACTTGGCCCACGGGAAGGCCGGGTCTAGATGTCCTGTTGAGGAAGGAGTCTTAGTGGAGTCTTAGTATACTGCCTTAGTGCTGGTCAGGGTTAAGGAATGAGGATGTGGGGGTCCGCCTTGGCATGCTTTATTTTCCTCCAGAGCCGGTCTGAGCCACACCTGCTCTGGCATCGTACACTACCTGCTGTGCTCTTTCCGGGAGAGCTGGGGGCTCGGGGGCTGCCCCCCCCCCGCCTTGCCATCCTGCTGGTGCCTGAGCTGGTGCTTCCGTCCAGCGGAGGCGTCATCAGTGGCCTTGTGTCTCAGCGGCCTCCGGTGTTGGGCGGTGGGGTCAGCCCCGGGGAGGCTGGGAAATGCTGGGGCAGCAGAGTGCCTGTTTTGCACAACCTCAAACCACTTCCCCACCCCCGGCCTCACAATCTGAGTTTCATCTCCCAGGCAGAGCCCATCCTCTGCCCACTCATGCCCTGCTCCCGCCGTCCCCCCCAGCTTCCTGCCTCTCTGCTCTTCCTCTCCCCTGGGGGCCTTGTTGCTGGGGTCATCCAGGCCACGAGTGGAGGCGTGGGTATGCCGGGCTTCCCCGGGCTGCCCTGTCTACTCCCATGTGTGGCTTCCTTTCTTCAGGCCGCCTCATGGGAGGCCAGCCTGCGAAAGGCAGGCTTCTCTGTACACCCCGGGGAGCTCGGTCCCCTGGCTGTTCACCCTTCCAAGAGACTGGGGTCCTTTAGGGCCAACTGGTAGCTCTTCGGGGACCTCACAGAGGTCTACCTCCAGCCTCCAGCTGGAATAATTGAGTGGGTTCACTGGTCCTAGCTCTTCTGTTCTCCTGCCCTCCCTGTCGTGGAGGGCTTGTTTGCAGACCAGCAGCTGATGCTGGGTGCTGAGTGAATGGTCTACACCTCCTGCCAGACCCAGGAGCCGCTCTGGGGTAGGAGGGTGACTGTGGGGTGATGTTCTGGTGTTTGGGAGCAGATGCTGCAGGGTACTCATGTCTGTGGTTTCCAGCATGTTGGGAAGGTAGGAAAAGGTCAGATTCCTCTCCCTGGAGCCTCCCTGTGGGAGGCTGCACCGGGTCTTAGTTGCAGCATGTGGGATCTAGTTCCCTGACCAGGGATCGAACCCATGCCCTCTCCATTGGCAGCACAGAGTCTTAGCCCACTGGACCACCCGAGAAGTCCCAGGAGACTCTTTATAAGCAATTGCCTGGAGGCAGGCACCCAGGGAGCCAGCCACCAGGCCCGAGGCATATGTTTTATGATCACAGGTCACACCCAGTGTCTTGGCC